TATAATAAACGCTAATACAATAGCAATGTTTCATATGCAATAATTTGATACACACCATGGTTAAAATACGATTATCAAGAGTAAGACCAAATACGGAAAATGTTACTGGACTTTGCAAAATTTGAATACCAAACTGCTGAATCTGAAACAATTTGGATGGTACAATACATTAGCATAAGAGTAATCAATTATATACTTACTCGCAAAAAAGCGGGCCACTATAATGTTATAGTGGTCCATTTCTTTTTGCAGGTTTTTTAGTATATTTAACAGTAAACAAACCTCTTCCTGCATATCAGTATCTGTGTTGCATCCATAAATCGCGTGAATAATTTCGATGGTTTTATTTCCCTACAAAAAAATGTTAATTCAATTAGAAAATCTATAATTGTTGACACAATAATAGATGAGATAAATTACCTCATTGGCCGCATTCTTGCAAATACGACACACAAAAACGATTTTGAAAATGCTCAGGAGAGACATTGACAACGTCAAAGCTGTCTGAGCTGGAACACCTTTAACTTTGTACTGATACATAATGTATCGAATAAATAAATTATAAGAAGCTCCAGACAGATGCATGATAATTGCTACTATTTCCCAAGCTACTTGTACTCCAAGGATAGTGCATACTATTTTCGATACTTTACACAATTCCAGGTGCACTTGTCTTAAGAACAAAATCAAAAATATAATTAGAAATATTATCAGTTAAAGAAGAAACTTTTTTTTCTTAAAAAGCTTTTAAAAATCTAACTTAAATATATATCTCCCAAGCGTTTTGAAGAAAATTATAAATTATGAATATCATATTAATGGCAAAATTGATAGACTTTAAATCAATTTTTATTTCGGAAAAATGTCATAAAATTTAATGCAATGTCTGTTTCAAATATATCTTTTTTATAAGATTTATTTTATAACATATACCTACTTTATAATTCTTGATACTCACTTGATTATTTGTAACAGATGTTTACGTTCTGGACATTTTGTTATCGAAGGATTGCATCTTTGAAATTGATTTTTGAGTTTACTTTGAAATTGGTTTTTATATTGAGATAGAAATTCAATTTGAGATACGACCTGATCTTGCTTCTTTAACTCCAAAACATTTATTCGAGATTGCAGCCGCCGACGTCGTCGAAATATCATTGTCGAGAAAAAAATATGCTTCTGTTGTTCAACATCCATAATTTTGGCATATTCTTTCAATTCAAAAATGTTTAATTTTATTTTATTTCTTGATAAATTTATTAAGTTCTCACACAAGAATCGGTTAATTAATTCAAATTTTATTTGTAAGCACCTACGTTGTAACAGAATGTTAGATTAGAATTCATTGGCTAATGTCACAAAATAAAATTACAGAGAAAATTATAAACATTGATATTTACGACCTTAGGCCATACGTATATAGAACCTCTCAATCTATTGTATTGTATTTTTATAAAAATGACAATAATAAGAGTTAAAGAAGACGAAGGACAAACAAAATATTAATTTGTTATAAAAATAAACATTATTGTTCAATAAAAGTATGTTTTAATTTACTTTTTGTGAGAATTTTACCTTAATTTATCGGAGTTTTATAAATAAATTCTTTTTTATAGATACTTATGGACAAAATTATAATATTATATTAATTATGCAGTATGTAAGTTATGTTAGATAGAAATAATAAAAATTATTAATATTTTATATAATATATAATTAGTGAGTAAATCTAATAAATATATTAATTTCTGGATTATTTAGAAGGTCAATTTACGTACCTTACAAATAGGTAGAATTCAAAAATATTAATAGAGTTGACAGTTAACGGATACATAGAACACAGTATAATATAAACTGCAGTACAAATGTTTGTGCGTATTCTTAAGTGAATAAAAGCTACGATGCTTAAAATGAAAGAACCTGTAATCCAGACGGTTATCATTCCGATTGTCATGAAATATATACTGTTATAATTTTCTGACAATCCAAGCTGTCGCAATGTTTCGTCGATTTTGAAGATCTTTTTGTGACTAGCTCTGAATTTCTACATATGTTAATTTGTGATGAAAGAATATTATAACTTACATATATCTATATTTTAAAACTATTTTATCTTAATTATATTATAAAGCTACATTAGAGAAATCATGAATAAGTTGGTATAAAAACTGCTTATAATATACATTATATGCTGTTTCGTTCACTCACGTTTGTATACCACCAACCCAGCAGCATGTTAAGAATCACAGACATAACATGGACGTATCTCAATATTTTGTATAGAACGTATTCTAGCTTCATCAGTCTAATGTTTAAATAGTATTTTTCTTCTATAATGCGCGAGCCACTGTAATATATACCGAACATAAACAAAAAATAGATTAGGCTGAGTATAGGTCTTGGATGACCACGAGGGTACTCAAAAATACGAAGTCCCAAAAAGCAACTGAGATTTGTCACTAATGCTATCGCTTCGGAGAAACATTTTGGACGCGCAAATAACTTCATCTTTTTGTTTTTGGTCTTCAGTTATAATCAAATATCTAAAATATATATTAAAAGAATATCTATCAAAAGAGAAATAATATTTTTCCACAATTTTACGCTAATTTTCCAAAAGAGTATTAATCACGCACATGTAAATATTACTTAATTTTCTATAGTTCACAATTTAAGCGAGAATAGTTCATGATTATGTTAGATGAGACAATGGTGCGATTCTTTGTCTTCCTTCGCTCTACTTGCTCTACTCGGTGTCTTGCAGTTTGCAAGTTAATAATCCATCTTTGGTAAATGAAGAAACATATACATAAACGATTATTAGAAGAGAATTATTAGAAGAACATGAGTATGCTAAATAAACGTACACAAATGAGCCCCACGGTAGTCTTCAATATTATGTCTACATAAAAAAAGTACTTGTGAAACAATAATTTATTATATAAACGTACGCACAGGGATCGTTTTTTATTACATTAATGCAATGAACACTATAATATGCTACCAGGACGACAACACATTGCTTAATTTAAGAAAGATGACTCTATATAATATAATAGTCATTGTTAAGTTCAAATGCTCATAGATATGCAAGTAAAGACGATAGACCAATAGATTTATGCATTACATATGGCTTAATAAATTTAAAAATTTATTGACGAAATATTTAATTAGAATGTACTATTTTCTTTACAAAAACATTGTAATTTTTACGTAAAAACTGTTATACTCCCTAGTGGATAATTTCTTACTTTGAGAGAATTATTCATGGAAAATAGTGAGTCATGTAAAGATGTATGAAAGAAAAGTCGGGGGACTGCGATAAATTAAAGATAAGTATGAGAATTGTTCTTGCTTGTAATTTATTTTTTGTTAAATATATAATACAGTCACAACTTATAATTGATTATTAATTATACATTGCGCATACTGAGTACCACGCAGTGAACGTCAATGTCATCCGATGCTCGTGTCAGCGATCAAACTTCTCTATAATATTTAAGGAACATGTGTTTCATTTATACAATATCATAGTATTAATGACTTAACTATTTTACTTTATAGAGGAATGATAGAAATTGTTTGTCGTAAAATCTCTTAATAGGCGCATTGGATTAATACGCTCTTGATTATACACATCGCGTAGAATATTTTACAGTGCTATAAAATTATTAAGGTAAAAGCAGAAATTTTAGTTATTATAAATTTTATTTTGATATTTATTTATAAAACTGATAATTATAAAATAGACGTTAATAGCAAATAAATTAATAAACTGCCTAACTATATTTGCTTCGTCATTTCTTAATTGTCTTGCCCGCAAAATAAACGTACACAAAAATAAACTTTTTTTATGTGATAAGTAATTTACTTGTATTAACATTGTCATTGTCACATATTCTTTTTATACTACCTATCTCTTTATATATTTGATAAAAGAACTCATATGATCATAAAGTTATTTATAAAAGATTACTTATATAAAGTCATTTATATAAGATTACTTATAAAATGCTGATTCTTGTAAAATAAAAATAAAAAATCTAAGTGGCTTAGCTAATTATATTTAATCTTTAAAAAATAAATTAAAGAATTTCATTGAAAATAATGTTGCAAATTGCATTTTTATTCAATGTGTGCATGTTTTGTTTCGCTCATTTGGGATTAAATTTTATTAAAATAGTAAAAACTTCCACTATTGTGTCCAGAATTATAAAAATAATATAATTTTTTAGTGTATTAATCTTATTGTTAGTTGTTGAAAAATGTTAAAGAGTTGATAAAAATAAAATAACAATAAAATGAATCAATTTAAAATCCATTTTGAAAATAAGGTATTTAGTTCCACAGAAATGAGTTTCTTCCATTCTAATTCATCTGCGTTTTTTTTTCACAGGAAAGCCAGTTTAGTTCGCACGGACAATCAATCACGCGCAGATCTCCAAGCGAATCGAGTCACACAATCGTATTTGCAAAGAACCGGGAAACGAGAGGCGCGAGGCGACGATCCGTGAAGTTGGCCTCCTCGTCGGCAATTCCATTCTTTTTCACTTAAGCTCGTACGCCGTATAATCGACAACGATCGAATACGCAGCCGAACGATGACTATCAAGGGTAGAAGAAGAATTTGAAGAAACGCGGAGGGATAGCAGTCCCATGGGAAGCCCTTCCATTGTCCCGAAGTGGCCTACTAATCCAGGAATCGGATAGATTCGAGAATATTGACGGATATATCGCACGATAACTCTGCACAATTAACGCAACTTAGCGACGTTCTTCAACAATTATTGAATATACCGAGCAATAACATGTTTCATCTATTATCTACTGTTCAAATGTTTGTGTTAATTGAAAATAATAAAAATCATTTATTCCAAAGACTCCCCCAAAAAAATTATTTTATTATTTATTTTAAAAGTAATAAATGTAGATGTAAACGATGGTTGTGATAACGTTTCTTAAAGTTTAGAAAAACGGTCAATAGTCAATTCGCAGTCAGCTTGTGATGATGATGATGATGAAATCGTCACAGTTTTCTAAGTCTTCTATCTCTGCTTGTTAAAATACGCAAGTTCAAGCTTGGAGTACATGATTCAGGTAAGCGATATAGCAAATTGCCAGCCGAAGAATCTCAATTTTCGAGAGCTTTTTGTCCGGCGGCAACGTCGGCAGCAGCTTTCGCAGTTCCGCAAACGCCAAGTTGAACGCCTCCACTCTGACTCTTTCCCTAATGAGATAAATATTATCGATTTTAGGCAGCAATCCTTTCTCTACATATAAAGAATTTCTTCGTACATAAACACATATTAATATACTACTGAATTTTCAAAATTTCTTTAGATAATTTCCATTTTTCAATAGGATATAAAGAAGCCCATTATATCGAAACACTTGTGATGTCAATGAAAGCACAAGAGGTGTATCGATTAAATAAAAATCCGAATTTTATTGGTAAGAATAATTAGATCGTCCTGATAAGATTAAACTTTCTTTTAACTTAAATTTCTCTAGATATCAAGAAATATGTTGCAGATTTACATCCACTAGAATGAATGAAAAACAGTTTTTTAACTAATTTTAATAAATAATTAATCAACCCAGAAGAAAGGAGTAAATTATGAAAAATGATATTGGGAATAATAAATATTAAAAAATAGCTTTAATTAGTGGAATTTTTTTAATTTTATAAAAAATTCCGGAAAATCATTTTTTAAATATTACGACAATAAAAAATTATAAGCGATTTCTTCGCGATATTTTAGTGTTTTATTTCTTCAGTTTGTTTGCCTTTGTAGCAAGACTTCGATTCTGCGCTTATCGTAGTCTTACCGTGTGGCATGTGCGGTTCGATACTTTTGCGTAGCCCTTCTTCGCCTGCGTCTTTCTTCCCTCGACAAGGTGCCCGAACCAGGAGCTCCTACACCGTTAACGGCGACCCCGTGGCCGCTGTTCGCCATAGGAACGGTCCTATCCTCGTTCGCAAAATCACAATTGAAGCTCTTCATGTGCCTCTGTGTTTTCATAAATGTTCCTTTCAAAGAGGTCAGTCTGATCTACCGCGAAAAATTATCTTCTCACCTTTGCCCTGAACGTAGATTCACGTCGTAAAGCATTACTATCTTGCTTCTCGTAGAATGCAGCTGCAATTATAATTACGATAATTGTCAATCGGATACAAAAAAACGCGGATGACGTTGCAAAAACTTAATTTTGTTATATGTAACATTCTAATGATATATTATATAGCTCTGTTTCATAATCCTAATTTAGCAATATATTATCTGATTGATTTGCTTTTTTAACAAATAATTTGTGGAGATTATTTATCAGTCACAGAAATTTTATTCAAAAGATACTCCAGTTATTTAACGTTGAACGACAATTAGATATTATTAATATAAACTGTAATTTTAAATAAGAAATGAAACTCTTACTATTCGAGTGCCGAATTGGGTTTGATTAAAAGTTATGATTTGATAATTTAAAAAATAAAAAAGTTAATTTTCTCCATTCTCCTCTACATTAAAACCATCAAAAATATAACATAGTCATATGTTATAATGCGGCAATAATCATATTATTGGATACGAGAAATAAGTATTTATCCATATTCTAATATATATGTATTGCAATAGTATCGTTCTCATTTACCCCATGTTTATAATTACTTTACTCTCCATTACAATTTAAACACTGTTTAGTGTCTCGATACTTTTGATCTATAAAAATTAACTACTTCGTAAAAAAAAACAATTTGTCGTTAAAATTAATTACAAATTATAAAGTATTAATTAATATTGACTTTAACGTTTTCTGTGCAATTTAAAGTTTAAAGTTTAATTTACATATTAAATTTAATTTACATAAATATTTAAATGAATAAATCAAATAAAGGCTCCAATGAATAAATAAAAAATTGGAGAGAAGCCTTTGAGATCCGACACAGGTTGTAAGTGTGCAATTATAAATATTTAGATGTTTATGATATTTTATTTGATAAATACAATTTTTAGAAAAGAGCGCTAAGAGACACAAAATAACAATCAAATTTTTCTCACCGTTTACTCTGGGGATTTGCGAAAGCTACGAAAAAATGCAACATAAAAGGGTTTACCCCTACGTTCCAGGATATTGGGGTTCGATCGGGATAATTGGATGACCAAATATTTGCTGAGCACACAAACGTAACTTATGTAACAGAATTATAATCATAAAAGAGAAAAAACGACAAAAATAGCTTCAATAGAAAGAGAGATATTATATTAGAACGCTTCACACTTTCGTATATAGGCAAAAGAGAGAAAAATGAAAGATATAAATTTCTAATACTGTAGAATTTTATCGTGTCACCGAAACAGTCGTTTTGAAATAGTCTATTTATGAGAAAGATGTTGTATTATTAAGTGAAACGCAGTTTGCGCTCCGCATAAGTAGCTCGATCTTCATCAAGTATTGACGAAAAGCCACCCCGAACGACTGCTGCCCGATCTGATTCTTATGGTAAACCGACGATTTGTATGAGCATTCACCACGCTCTTTCTCTCCGATTCTTTCTTTAATATTTTAAAGAAAACCACCAGATTTCGAGCGACAAGTCTTCTCGGCGCTTCTTTTAATATTTATCATGGCACTGCTATCCAATCAAATCGATACGATTCCCTGTGGATTTTTTTTATTTTTACGACTTTACGCCGTAGGATTTTACGCAAACTCAATTTTGTAAAAATACGCACTTTGTGCGTAATTCCAATTATTCTTAAAAAACTTAATTTTAATCTATATTTATATTGAAAAAGTTAATGATAATTATACAAATTTAAATAGAAAATTTTTATTGTTAAGAGAAGATTAAATAAGAATAAGAAATTTGCTTTTGTCCAAAAATTGAAATAAATAAAAATTACTTTTACGATAATTTATTTCAAGAAAATTTTTGTGAATTTGATATGTAAATTATAATAATAAATTTATTGTTTTAAATTCTTACATGTGATATTTTTAATATCTTTATAAAGTAAAATTATTTTTGTGTAATAATTAATGTAAGTTTTTTTTCCATATGTTTTACTTACCATAGTTTTCCAAGATAAAAAAAACAAGTTTTCGTTTTTCCTCGCCAGTTCTCATCCAGTTTGAAACAGATCACTCTTTTCTATTGTTCTCAATTAAATTCTTTCACTGTTTAAACAATCGCACACAAAATCTTATCCACATTTTTTTACTATCAATCTTAACACAGAAGGAAATTCCTCAGAATATTTTACTTTTCTAAATCACTCGTTCATTTATCGACTCCGGATCGCGATTAGATCAACGTCGATTGTTATCCGCAGCAACAAGATCACTTCTGACAACATCTCCCGGTTTCGACGAGATCGTCGGCAGAGAACGGTCAACAGCATCCCTGGCAGAAAAACTGATCCAGGGAAGGGTGAATTTAGCTATACGGAGCAGGCGGGTAGGGATTTTCATCTCTCGTAACCACGCCCTTGATTCCGCCACAACCTCCCTTGTCCTCTCGTATCCCCAGCATCCCTGACAACATCCCGAGCGTTCTCCAATCGACTATCGAGAAACATCCCTGCGAACCCGCCCCGACACCTGACGCCACGTCGCCATTCCGTCGCATTTCGTAATTTACGCGACAGTATTTTACACAGCCTCCCGGATACAAGGACCATTTTATCGATCATTCGACTTGACGTTGAATGTTTTGGAAAACTGGATTCCTGTCGTCGGACAATAATATTTAACACCGATCATGTATACAAATAGGTAAAAGATTTGATCATTTCTGACATCATACGATTACGTTTTTTTTTTTAAAAAGAAATATTTATACCCATATGAAATATGATATAATAAGTTAATAACATCTATACTTCAGTTGTCATCTACAAGTCAAGAACAAATGTAATTAAAACATGTCTTATTATATCCAATTAAAAAAATATATTTTTTCTTTTAAATTTAAATGTTATTATATTTCTTTTAAATTTAAATGTTATTATATTTCTTTTAAATTTAGAATATTGTTTACATGATAGAGTTTTGGAATCTGAGTCTTACGAATAGGAGCTGTTTTATTTACAAACGCTACGAATATTTTATTGAACAATAATTCTTAATTTTAAATCTATAGTGTCAAATTTAACTTACTGCTCCTATTCAATCATATTTATAGTAAAACAATGATTATATTTGACACTATACAGTGTCAAATTTAATTATCCTTTTAGTAAAAAATAACGATATGTATTTAGTAGGAGCAATGGCGACTCACATTTAGGTTAAATTCGACACTATAGATTTAATAATGTAGTGTAATTAAAATATTCAGTGTAACTACATATAAGAGAGATGTGGAAATATAATAAAATTATTTATTATATATAATTTTATTTTTCGAGAAAAGTTTGTTTCTCTTTTAAGATGATTATGATGTTTATTTTAAATGTGTTCTAGAAGCACAGAGTAAATTGAGGATGGGTTCATTTTGGAGTAGTATAGATTTCTTCGGAGGATCAGGTGGCAGACGCGTCGCATCTGCGCCATTCGGCTATAATAATAATCACAGTCGCATCCTCTCCGTCGCGGAACAGTTCTATACAAAACCAAAATCCATCAGTTCATTTGTACAATAACGTACAGTTGCAATTTTTTGTCTCCTAAAATAGTGAACACAGTGTCTGAAAATTTTGATTATGGTTCGATCAAATTTGATATACTAAATTGACATTAAAATCGAGAAAGAATACGTGTAATAAAATTAGTTTATTCTTATAACGTTTACGTTAGTAAAGTGTTATGATTGTTTTATGAGAACAAGTAAAATTTAAAAAAAATCGAATTTGAATACTTCAAAAAAAAAAAACTTTAAAAAACGGAATCTTGTGTATACACACATACAAAAATGTTATGTAACTGATAACTTTGATTATATTAGTTTATAATTGTTAATATCAAGTAGTTAAATTAGTGAAGACTTTTTCTTTATTTTGCTAACAACACTATACATACATATATCTGTTGTAGCGAGAAATAATCTATCTATTGTTGAGAATTGGCACTCTTCAGGTGACGAGTGACTTGCTGCTCAGTGCGATTGACTCATGATCTTGTGGATCCGGGTTTGATTCCACCTCATACGTGATTTTTCAATTGAAAATGCGTGATTCAATTATAATATCGTCTCTATTTTCGAATTATTATAAAATTATAGAAGCAAAATGTATATGTACATATATGTGTGTATAGATGAAATAAAATTGACTTCTGCTCGTTTTGATACATTTAAAAAATACTTTGTTTCATATACTTATTATGTTCATTTTGCCAGTGGTTTGGCATTAGTATCAATACTAATGCTGATACACTGACATAACGAATATGATAAGTATGAAACCAAATATTTTTTATCAAATCGAACAGAAGTCAATTTTGTTTCATCTGTACATATACATATATACATATATTTTGTTCCTATAATTTTATAATAATTTGAAAACGGAGACGATATTATGATTAAAGTTTTTGAAAAAAAAAATCCTTAAAACTAAATCAACCTCCTAATAATATTATTAATCCTTTTACTTGATATTTCACCGATTCGTTGCTTTTTGCATGAATTATCACACATTTGTCTTTATATCTTTATGTCTCTTTGTGATAGTTATAAATGTGTTGTCTGATTATATAAATATTTCAAATAAATAATACGAAATAGTCGATATTCTTGAATGTCTTGAGATAAAATTTGGGAATCTCGAGAAGCGAAAATATCGGCCCATCGAGACGAGAAAATTGTGTCAATCATTTATTTTTGTCTAGCCTAAATCTCAGTATTGGTATTTTCTCGTCTCGTTTCGAATGCATCACTAGTGGTGATTTTCTTGAAAGGAAAATAGAGATTTTTCTAAATTATAATTTGCAAACTTGCTTAATTATATTTCTGCTTAATTTAATCTTCGATTCAACTTTTGTTATATAATTTTAACTTTTTTAAATATTTTGATTTAATTTTAATTTTTATCACCTTTCTTTTCCTCATGTATATTAAGAAAATTTGAGCTCTTTCTTTCGTCTTATTTTCACAAGGTGAACGCTTGTATTCGTTACGATCGAGGAAAAGATAGAATGGTGCTACCCCCACTTTATAAGGACAGAACCGCAGAACCCGCAATTATGCAAATTGGTCAATCGGACTTTAATCTACTTCCAATTCGACTGCCAACACCCATCTCGAAAATTGCTCGTGCGAGGGTTGACGCGTGCGACCGAGAGTTACGACGAGATGCCGTGTGCGAGTACACGCGTGTAACATATAATATGTGTGAACACGATCAATCCTCGCCGCAACAATCAAGGACGAGGCACACGCCCTGCTCGATGCATCCGATTAATGTGTTTCATCAGGCGTTTCGGGTGTCATGAGATAGTTCACACCTCGTTATCACAATGACGATCCTTTTCACGATCGAAACCCTTTTCATTCCACCAAATACATGTTTTTATAAAAACTTTATAGTTATTACAAATCGATAAAATATTAAATTTTATTAATATTATATTAAAAAAGAAATTATATTAAAGAAGAAATTATATTCAACATAAATGCATTAACATATTACACATTTACGTATGTTAATTTTTGTGATATTAATAAATAGATTTACATTTAAAAGATAACGGTGTTAAAAAATACTTATTATTAATTTTTAATTTCTAAATTTATTAAAATTGTTTATATATTATCAATGCAGATATATGATTATTAGCTTTCATTATTAATTATGTATAAACTTGAGAAATTAAAAGGGATATGTAAAACTTTAGTAACAAACCTATGTATTATAGTAAAGATTATTTATTCGAGCATAGAGTAAATTATATATTTAGAAATAATAAATCATTCTTTTTAATCCTAGATAGAAGTATGTGGACACTCCTTAATTTATTCTTTTTCCTTTTATCGTTATACACATTTAATATATATTTTTACAGTATATAGATGTACATACTTATACACATGCACATAGAAACATTTATTTGTAAAGTACACTGAAATATTTCGTGCACGTAGTGTACATATTTATAGAAAGTAAAATCACAATAAAGTTCATAATATATGTCCACATTATTATTAAAAATACCTAATTCCTATAAATATGAAAAACACATTAGCTCTTGATAATTTCATTTTCTTATTCCCAGATATTCGCTATTACTTTTTCAATCGGTGTTTATATACTTTTTAGATATTTAAACAGATTATATATAAATAAAATTTGTTCGACATTTAAATAGCTGATTGAATCTACTTAATATTTTTCAACGGCAATTTTTTCATAGTTGTTATCGTAAAATTGGTGTCGTCATCCGATCGATGCCGTTTTCGATTGATTCCATCTCTTGAATTTCTCGTATGTCTAGAGATGAAGGAATCGACCTCCCTCTTTGATCGTCGAGCTTTCCACGCTCGATGCATTTCTGCTCTGACTTCACCGTTTAGCAGACAATAAAGAAAAGCCACGAAGGCGCCCTACAAAGATAAATAACACAAAGTGTGTGCGAAGATATTTAAATTATGCACAGTTAGGTTCTTCGCGTCATAAGTACCTGGAAGGATGCAAATAGTTGATCGCAAAAAAGCCCTACGAGTTCTACCCGGTAATCCTTATGGTAGGACAACCCCAAGTAAATTGTATAATGTATTCCGAAGAGTGGTAATAAGACTAGAGTTGATTTCGCCCATCTCCTAAATTATAAATTAAAATAAATATAAACGCATGGCATCTAACAAAAGATCGTATGCTAAACGAGATTTTAAGCTATTTATGGCTATCAAAAGGCCATATTTATCTTCCTTACACATCGAAAATAATGAAATTAATTTAAAATCGGTATAAATTGAATTATGTAATAAAGCTATTTATGTATTAATTATTAACTTGTATTTCATTTTTTTCCGTTGCAGATGCACCGATGTCTTCAGCTTCACCAGCAGGACGCGAACGATATTGAGGAACAGTAGAAAATTGAACTGAAAGAAAGAAATAAACATATACTTAGTTTAAATATGCACACAATTCAAATACCCGTTACGTTATGCAATTGACGTACTAAAATACATATAATCATTGGTATTCTTATGATGAGAAACAGTGAGGAATTGTTATGAGTGGTCCAGCAGAGAGTGTCCTCAATAGTCGCGCGAAATATAATCCATGGCACTACTACCAAGACAGGGAGACCTATTTAATGTAATGAAATGTGAGTAAACTGCGATTTAAGGCTCTACATTTAAAATAGTTTTAAATAAGTTTATTCTATTTCACCCCATCCTAGTGCGATATATAGAGCTATTGTGCTGCTGTCGGTACATAGCGCTAGAAAAACTAGATTGTGCAAATACAATCCTTCCATCAAGGTCCATGAATAATTTGCCACAATGAAATATTGCCATAGACTCGTAATGACTTTACAGACCCAAGTCTGAAAACATCGATTAGCGAAAATACAGACACATTACATTACTAGATTAAGAAATAAATATGAAAAGGAAAGTGAGACAGATAATTTGGAATATTGTTTTTCCACAGACGTAAATATTTATAAAAATTGATTGATTAATGCAATAATTCATTTCAATTATAGTTTATTCAAAAATAGTTCATGAGATTATCAGACAAATTTTTAGGTAAAGACAAAAGAAGACAATTATAGATTGAACAAAAAGTTATCTTATGTATAGAGTAATTTAATTAAAGTAATAAAAATCAAAATAATATTCGTAAAAATCTAATAATGATCAATTTATTATTAAAAGAACGTAATTATTTACTTATTTGGTGTAAAAATAATGAACAGGATTTTAATACATAAAATAAATACTTAATTTATTACTATCTTTCAGTATTAAATTGGCCGATATTAGAATTCCGTAAGGATAAAAAAATTAAATGAATAATTAGTAAAAATTAAAATAATAATAAAATAATTATATCGATGTTCTATTTACATTTTCCTCTTTGATAAAAGCATTCTCTCCGACAAATACGACATTCCAAGTTAATCCGATGCCGTCTATGAAACTCCAATCTTTAAGGAGTGCCATAAAAGCTCTCATGATAAAGGATGCAAATAGGTGCATGTGCAATCTATTTCTGGGATTCCTGAGTTTCCTACGTATATGCGGAAAACATATTAGCGATAATTGAAACACTCTCAATGAAATGGAAAAAAAATGACTACGCTCAGATGTGAGAAAAACATGTGTACTTACCTAAGTAAGGAAAAAACTACCATAGCAACGATTAGTGTGGTAAACGAAGTAATATATCCAATATGCGATATCATTCTAATAATCGGCAGCCATTTCTGTCAAAAGTACATATATTGATAAAAGCTGTATAAATGAATCAATTTGGTTTTATATCTATTGCATTCATAATAATTGTATAGCAATTTTAAAATTTTGCAAGAACAATTAATACATTTATATAATATAATAACTCATGTCTGAAGGTACTTTGAACACGAGATGACATAATAATTTTTTATGTGAGTATTTTGAATGTAATATAATTTATTTTAGAAATGATTAAATTTTACTGTTGTTTGCAACATTCAAAAATATCAAATTCTATATCCATTAATTTAATCGCAGCTTATTAAATTACAATGCTACAAAAAATTTGCCCACTTGCTTCAATTTCAATAATCAAGCGTAGCTACAACAAATAACTTACATTTAGTAGCGCAAACTCCGCTGGCGTCTCGTACAACGGCAAATAATTGTTTTCAATATGACGCGTGAGATTCAACACGCACAGGCTGTAATTACTCCAGGAGATGCCATCCGAGTTCTTGTACCATTCGCCGTTGGCCAAACAGACTTTGCTGGCCACCGCAAGCTTTCTCAGGTTGTCGCTCGCGAGATCGGTGTATCCCATAACCGAGGCCGGTGGACAGGGCAAAGTGGCTGTTCCTGGTGCATCAGTATGCGACCAGCAGAGCAAACCGTCGAAGAATGGCGGGCATTGACGAATTTCTGTTCCGTTGCTCTTGACGCCGCGATACTTTTCCAATTGATCTTCATCAGTGACGTTATGTCCGAATAAGTTGATTCCGGTGGCCTCCGACATATTGCCAAACGTGGACATACCTAGCGTTCTCGTTGATGCAATAACGATTGTCTAATTAATGAGAGAACACCTTATCGGGGGTCTGATAGACCCTGATCGATCGATCATTTATCATTTCCAATCAAATTGAGAAGATTTTCTTTTAAGATAATTAATGATTTTTCGCGAGATTTTTTTCGCAAAACAATTATGTGAGAATTACAATTTTTTTTTAATATTTAATTTAAAAAAAAATATATTTAAATAGTATGAATTCGAGCCCACCTTCGAAAAACTTGCATTTTTGTCTCTGTTTGGCTAAGAAATGTTCCACTTCGGCTTCTCTCATTCCAACGCTAAAGAAATAAGAAGGATAAATCTGTTATTCTTTTTATTTTTCAATTGCAATAAAATTTTTATCCACCATTCATTCCATTTACAATGCAAAAAATAATCTTATACATTTTCGTTGCAACGACATACATTATTATTTAAATCAAAGTTCTACTAATATTTAATTCTGACTTCCTTATATTTATATATAGTATCAATTAATGCTTCCAAATCATTTCTTCGCTCTTCTTATCAATAGTTCTTTTATTATATATAAATCGTAATTTTTTTATCATCGATTTACAATATTAAAATTAATAGCACAATGTTTATCTCTTACCTTAAATTTTATTTTATTGTAATTACAATTATTTCACGTTATATATGAATATTACTAGTAGTAACAGCACTGTTTGAAATGTAACTTCATATGCACCTGCGTACGTGATCGTGGCTGATCTGAAACTTGGTAGAGAATCATGGACATAAATCGGGCGACTGCGCGTTGAGCGATCACTCATGCACGATTTTCCGCACCTCGAATCTTCCTCTCATAATGACGTAAAAACAAACTTGAGTACGTAGAGCAAGTCAACGAATTGTCCGCCGAGCAAAGTGTGTTTGTTGCATGTCGAAGCGTCGTGATTTCCAATTGTGTCATAAACAAACAACATAATAAAAGTATAATTTAATGTACCTTCTAACAAATGACACGGTGTGACACATGGATCGTCACATCCTTGTGTTATTTGCCAATGTTAAACAAAAAGATGACATGATTACTGTGTCGCACTGTGTTGCTTGTTAGAAGGCATACTTAATCTCTCTATGTGAGATATCTATTTAAAAAATTTTACATATACATATACATATATATATATATATATATATATATATACTCGTATATATATATATAATTTTAAATAAATATAAATGTATTAATTCCATAATCAATACAATTGAGGTAAAATTTCTAAATAATGGATTAACAATTATTTCAAATTCTTGTACAATTTTACTAAAGAAAGAATGTATCGATTTAAATTTAATATCTTTTAACATCCAATTTAATATTAAATTTTGTAATCGTCATATTACGTAAATTTGTTTTTATTATTTTTGAAACTCTGACATGTGTGCCATTCTCAAATTTTCATAATGTTACTGTTTGTAAAATATTCAATTTTCAGGATATTCTTTTATTATCATCTCTAACTCATGTCACGATTTGATTTTTTAGGTATATAACTATCTCGCCATGCTTTGTGCAACGCACTTATGAGAATACAAACAAATTACTTATCTAGTGAATGCGATCTATCAAAAATTTAATCTTTGAAAGTTCTTTTTGATAGACTGCTGTCAATATTAGCTTAAATCATCACAAGTTAGTTGTCAATATTAGCTCAAACCATTATAGGATTCATAGTTCGAATTTCTAATGATATTACTCGACCAACTTCCGCATCAGAAACTGATGCGACGTAAATAGATAGATGTCAATATCATTATGACGCTATCAATTAACATATAATAATTCAATTTTCAAAATAACTACTCATGACTACTCAATGGATACATTTTTAAAATAGGTTTATTATATATATTAATATTTATTGATTTTAATAAAATTACATAAAATATTAAAAATTATATTTTTAATATTTTTACAATTTTAGTAACAAAAGACGCTAAACGGCAAAATCAATAACAATGCATTATACCATTACGATGTATTATTCCAAAAAACTTTTTTAACCTTATAAATATTACATATATAAATATTTATATAAAAAAGAATACATTTTCCTGAGATCTTTCTTTTTGATAAATGTTTATGAAAAGGGTTTTATACAACGCATTATTCAATGCATATTCAATAAGGAAATAGGACAACCTTGTAGGGAATAAAGCAAACGAAGTGATGTATTCAAAATTCATTTTATGTTAAATCCGTGTAAGGGACACGTCATAACAGAGTATATCTTTCTGCTCAAATCAGTTCGGAGAACCATCGAAACATACACACAATTGTGTCTTATTTACATACATTCATCGTTGCGGACCGAAGAGAGTCGCATAACGTAAGTATACGTACCGTAAATATCACCGTCCTAATCAGCGTAAAATTCTTGTTCTTCAACGTATCCGATAAATTGTTATCATTACACGTAACGTTTACCTGCACATCTATCGATTCCTGTTTTATTAATCGAGATTAAGACGAATATGACATAAGAAATAACCGGAGGAGTAATTCGTGCTCGAAATTGCAATCTCTTAAGAATCCTCAATACTTATGTCAGTTATCTTACACTATGATGTCATAAGAATATTCAAGTAAAATGACAGAAAAGTTAAATAGTAAACAGTAACTGCTTAATCTTTCAAACATTAGATACTAATGAGTTTAAACGAAAGTTTGTAGTGTTACTTTATATGTACGTAACATGAAAAAATCTTATAAGATATCTTATATTTTTAGAAAACAATTTTGTAGAAAAAACTTCAAATTTTTTTTCACGTTAAAAAGTCGAAAGTTTCGCAAGTGTTTTGGGTCCACAAAGTGAGAAGAAAATTTTCTCATGTTGTCCAGCTCGTAGTTTTTTATATGTAAATATAATCAAATTTATAAAAACTCAAAAAAGGCACAGTAAACTTTCAAAACTCTAAGTTTTAAAACTCTTTTTCTAAAAAATTTAAATTTCGTTCATTTTTAATAAAGTTACAGCTGCTTGAATTTTAAAATTCGTAGTGCAGTGAAATTTCATTCTAACTTAATGCTTTAATTCAATCAAAAATTTTTTCTTTACTTTTATTAATTATTTGGATACTTCTTTATAAATGACATCATAATTCGAGACAATGTTGATCAGTACTCCTTTAACATTATCACGATCTTATATTTACAAATGCACGAGAGAATTAACTCCTCTTACAGCCATCAATATCGGTAAGTATCAATAAGTACAGATATTCCAACATCTCTTCTAGATTTGCGTCATATTCTTCGCCCCCATTGTCCCGCGTGAGCGGTTCGCCTATGTCTATTCATTCGCCTAAATAACCGTTTATCGGGTCACCTAATAAATATCTTAGCTATTTGCCTCTATCTACACGCTTATTTATATATATATTATAAGTTGCTCCCTACGTCATTATGAAATATGTACAAATTTCCAAGAATCACTTGCGTTTTCTTACGTAATTCATAGGCCACGTTGTACAGGGATTAAGGGGGCGAATTTTCACGCGCATTCGCTTCTTAGTGAAAATCACTTGCGTTGCTTACACTGAAAAAAAGTCTGGTAATAATAATCACAAGCCTAGATAATAATACTAAAGCTTTGGTAAAATAATTTTGCTAAAAAATTTTCAATATTTATAATATAAAACTAACTAAATGCTAATTTTTTTAAATATTATCTTTTCTAAATATATTTTTCTAATTATTTCCAAACGATTGGTTATTATTATTATAATATTTGGTAATATATATTGCACCAATAACGAAACACATTTGATAGCGTATATTATCAGACTTTGTTTTCATTATAAACAATCATATGTATCTTGGAATCATTATATTATTGGGCGAGTTTCTTTGCGTTCTATAAATCAAATTTTTCGTCGTGATGATACGGACGTCATCTTCCGAGCTTGGGACAATTAGAAATCACAACGAGATAAAATCTTGACGATTACATGAAATAAAAAATAGCACAATGTAATGCCTCTTATTTTTTATACAAATGAATAATTGTACAATAATGATTGTTTCAATTTCAAACTAATCTATTTATAAATTAATAAAACATAAATATACGTTCGATGATATGTCTAATAATAACATGAAATAATAAATGATAATGTATAATAATAACATTAAACTCAATGCTTGAGAAATAAAGAGATTATATCCTTCGTCCTCCACGCGCGTAAGAAATATCCAATAATTGTGCACTCCGCCCTGAGCATTTTTGCGTTGACGATAAATAGAAAGTTCGATTAGCGTTGCGTGCCGATAAATCGGCGAATTTCAAGCTCTCTGATATTCAAGCGTTTTCATTACATATGATAATCTTTAATAATATAGATCAGTCGCAAACATACACTCTTTCTCTTCTCTCATTCATGTCACAACATCGGAACTATCATACCATCACATATACATACATATGCCTTTTTCGTTATTTGTTACTTATACTTTCAATAATGTAATCTCGACCATTAAAAAGCTAAATTACGCGCTATAAAATTGCCCCTGGCTGAGGCGTTCCAGTGATAAAGCTAGTCTACTCTCGCTATCCTCGATTTGGGGGATCCAAGAAATAACGTGATAAGCTTCCTGCGCATCGTATTTCTTTTCTCATTCGCTTTAAAGGCTCCTTCTCGCTAGGACTCTTTAACTGAGTCTCGATCGAGGCAGTACCTCGTCATCTCCCATATTAAGACATGATGCACAATTGTCCTAATTTGTTTCAATTATGCATCGTTATGTAGTATAATGTAATTAAACAATTAATGTATAACAGAGTAATGTTTAGAATTTAGCATCGATAAACAAAAAAAAAGATTAGAATGTATCACTTGTTAAAAAGCAAGTGCTGGAAAAGTTTTTGAAAAGCCCGAACGCAAACTTTTTGTACTTTTAACACAGTAGAAATCGAGATCAAAAACAGCTTTACAAATAACATTATAACACATATATATCAATTTCGTCGCAATAATTTATAAATTTGATATTTTTTAGACATATTTGACCTATAATTTACTCTCAAAACAGTAATATCTTCTAGATATTAAGGAATTGAAAAATTTACAACATTCATGATCGGCATACAGTTCGGACTCCGAAACATTTCATCAATAGAATATCCGCGGCTCTACTCGATTGCAATTATTCGATTTAAGTAGACGCTTATAAAACTAAGCTTGCGTGGAGCTTGATTTCAAATCTCTTCACAAGAGGAGTTTGAATCAATTAATCGTTACCAATCACGCGTTCTTTTACAT